CATTTTGAATGGGTTGCGGTTATGTAAAAGGGTTTTACTCCCTGCCAGTTAAGTCAAGGTATATGGTGTGTGGGTGGATGTGGATGTGTGTATGTGTATGTACGTGTGTGTATGTGTGTATGTATGTGCGTGTGTGTGTGTGTTTGTTTGTATGTGTATGTGTGTTTGTTTGCGTGTGTGTGAATGTGTGTGTGTGTGTGTGTGTGTGTGTGTGTGTGTGTGTGTGTGTGTGTGTGTGTGTGTGCATGTGTGTGTGTGTGCGCGCGTGTGCGTGTGTGTGTGCGCGTGTACGTGTGCGTGTGCGTGTACGTGTGTGCAAACAAGTATATTTTCTAGTCAAAATAAAGTCATATCTCATATGAAATGTCTTAATACCTTCCCAAAAACCTCCATCTGATATGCAATTCGCGGAAATTCTATCCTCTGCACACAGCCTAAACTGCAGTCATGTCATGCAAACAACTTTTACACTACAACCAATCACACTAACGAACACTTAAGCTAAACCATAAAACAAGGTATCAGAACAAAAGCACCAATCAGACGACCTAGGTTTATAAACAAACTTGTAAGGAAAACAACCAATTACCTTATGACCACAGGTTTAGGAAAAAAAAAGGTTAAACGCCCATAAACTGAAGCAGTATTTTTTAAAGACAAATATCAGATTTCCAACATGCTGTGCAGCTTCGCCTAATCTTCGTTAACAATCCTAATCACGGCAGATCAAGTGATTCAAGATTGTGCCTGGACCAAGCACTTAAGAACTAGTCTAGACGAGGAACTCCTGAGGAACACGACTAGCTCAAGAGGCTCTTGGGTCTGAGTCTCTCTCTCTGTCTGCCTGTCTGTCTGTCTGTCTCTCTCTATCCATACCTTTTCTCTCTCCCAACAACCCTCCCTCTCTCTCTTTATATACATAGATATACATAGATTAGTTTATACATACATATGTATATATATATATATATAATATTATCTAATCTAGAGATGAGAGAGAGAGAGAGAGAGAGAGAGAGAGAGAGAGAGAGAGAGAGAGAGAGATACATGTATGTGTGTGTGCGTATTATATGTATATAAGTACACATGAATGTATGTATATATTTATTTATAGATTCGCGTGTATGTATGTGTGTGTTGTGTGTGTGTGTGTGTGTGTGTGTGTGTGTGTGTGTGTGTGTGTGTGTGTGTGTGTGTGTGTGTGTGTGTGTGTGTGTGTGTGTGTGTGTATGTGTGTGTATGTGTGTGTGTGCGTGTGTGTATATATGTGTATATATATATATATATATATATATATATATATATATATATATATATTCCCCTTTTCGCTTCCTCTATCCCACAATTTCTTTCCTTTTTGCTCTCTTTGTTGCTCAGAATGTTTTTATCTTCTATCTTTATTTATTTTTTTTTTTTTTTGTCTCCCTCATCGCTCTCTCTTGCTTTTAAAATTCCCGTCCACAAAGGCCTCACCAATTCCTATCCTGCAGCGAGGAGAAAGTGCTTAACACCCTTTTGACACAGAGGAATCACGCGCTATCAAATGACCCTTCTCTCCCCATCATCACATCCATATATATGTGTCACTGTACCCACCTCAGCCACTGTATTATTCACCCACACCTTCAGGAAACGTACCCGGAGTATGCCTGAGTGACCCTTCTCTCTGGGGTCCGGTCTTTCACGCGTCCTTCGCTCGGATTTTTTTTTTTGGGGTGTGTGTGTGTTTGTGTGTGTGTGTGTGTGAGAGAGAGAAGGGGAAGGAGAGGCTGAGAGAGAAGGGGAGGGAGACGGAAGGAGAGGGAGAGGCTGAGAGGGAGGGGGAGGGAGAAGGAAGGAGAGGGAGGGGGTTAGAGGGAGGGAGTGAGTGAGAGGGAGGAAGAGAGGGAGAGGGATGGAGGGAGGAAGAGAGGGAGGGAGGGAGGGAGTGAGGGAGGGAAGGAGGGAGGGAGGGAGGGAGGGAGGGAGGGAGAGAGAGGAGAGAGAGAGAGAGAGAGAGAGAGAGAGAGAGAGAGAGAGAGAGAGAGAGAGAAATAGATAAAGAGAGAGTAGATGTCTGTCTGCTTTTCTGTCTGTCTCTGTTTCTGCATGTCTCTCTCTCTCTCGCTCTCTTGTTCTCTCTCTCTCTCTCTCTCTCTCTCCACCCTCCATCTCCCTTTTTCCCCCTATCTCTTTCTCTCACCCCACCCCCCTCTCTCTTTCCCTCCCACTTCTCCTACGCCACGACCACACTCGCTATCCTCTCTTTCCCTCCGTTCCCCTCTTTCATCACCTCCTCTTCTTCTCCTTCGGCCCCTCCCTCCGCCACCTCTTTTGGAAATGCTCTTCGTTGGGCGTCGGAACTCTTCAGGGCATTGAGCTCCGTGGATGCGCTCTTCGTTTCCATTTCGTTATTGGGATCAGTGAATTAGATTTTGTTATTATTGTTTGTTATTTATTTATTTTTTTTTCATGTTTTCATTGTTCATTATTATTATTATTATTATTATTATTATTATTA